GGGGGGGGGTCGGTTCTTCCTTTGCGTCGCTTTTTCCCGACTTCCCTGTCTAGGAAGGCCCAACAAAAGATCCCTACCCCCGGGAAAAGCACCGCCAGCATTTCCTCCCACCGAAATAATAATAGAAGAATAATAATAATAGAAATAATAATAATAATAATAATAATAATAATAATAGAAATAAAGTGCACAATAAATATAATGCGCTTGAATAATCCCAGAACCATCCCCTCCCCCGATGGTTCAGTTGTGGAACAACTGTCTTCCACAAAACCGGTCTCTGGTGCCAAAAAGGTTGGGGACCAGTGCTCTAAGTAATCATTACTATAAACCATGGTCTGACCCAAACTGGGACATGCAATCAGTTTCAACACTGAACCTAATTCACACACACAAAAATGATCAGTGGCAGATGATGGCTGTTTGAAATTGTTATTTGCTGATTCACATGAATTAGCATCTCTGCAAGGTACCTTCCTAGGAACTGTTCGCCATAAGTAGTCTGCACAAGCTGTCTCCATCAGCTGTTTTTTTTTTAAAGAGCCAAAGTAGCACTTGGTATTTTGCTTCCAACTCTAAGCAATATTTCAATTTACATAAAGTTATTCCTGTTGGTACTTATAGCGGAAATATAACTAATTCCATATGGAAAGTTAAAAAGCTTTCTATAGCTTTTTGGAATAGTTATATAATAATCTGTTGCAGCAAAAGCAACATCTCTTTACTAAACAAGTAAAATTTTGGAAAATCACTAATAAAGAAGGTACGTGGTCATAGCACTGATGAAAAAGTCAGGAAAAATTCAAAATGCTGTTATGGTTCTGTCCAATTTTAGTGAAATGTATATAAAAAAAGAAGATACAAAGATGAGGAGAGCCAGTTTGGTGTAGTGGTGAAGGCACCAGGCTAGAACCCAGGAGACCGAGAGTTCTAGTCCCGCCTCAGGCACCAAGCCAGCTGGGTGACCTTCAGCCAGTCACTCTCTCTCAGCCCTAGGAAGCAGGCAAGGGCAAACCACTTCCAAGAAACCTTGCCAAGAAAATTGCAGGGATTTGTCCAGCCAGGTGCCAGGAGACAAAAGGTGACTCAAAGACATAAAACAAAACAAAAAACAAAGATGAGGGACACTTTCTTTTTTGCTGGTATCACCATCAATGTACTTCATTTAATAAACCCACTCTAAAAGGACAATGAGAATAACCTGGAAAAATACTAAAAAAGCAGATTTTTCCCAAGTTCATATTGAGCTGGAAGGTACACATGAACAGGAAAATCATAAAAAGCCCAAAGCATTTGAAAGAAAGATTCTCCAAAGAGTGCTCTCTTGCTCTTTTTAAAAGAAAACAACAGTCCTGACTTGTTTGCCCTAAGAAAAAAATAATTCAAACCTGTTGAGCATTTTACAAATGACCTTTTCTGTTTAGTACCAGCCTAAAGCTTTATTCTTTTCCGGTCTTCCCCTTCTTCTATAGAGATAATTATACAGTACTCATGAATAACCCTTTTTAATTAAAAAATGTTGCTTCAATATTTAAAGCAAATAAGCAATAATGGGGCCTTCAGCTATTCCTGAGCATCAAATGCCTCTCCAAAGAGCTTCCAGAGGCATTTGTCTCAACTGGCCTACGGGAAGGAGAAGAGAGGCCACTGCTTGGAAGAGGAGATGTGAAATAGGAAAACAGCTGCACACAGGTATGCAGAAACTAAAAGCTCATACAACTGAACAGCCCTTAATTGATGTAAAGTATACTGTACTTCCTTTAGTCCTGCAGTCTCAGGTCAGCCAGGTGGAGCAAAATATTCAAGCTTTTTGTAACAGCTTCATCTTTGGCTGATGAATGAGGCCAGAATGGTTTTCGTCTTATCAAGACCTTCTTCCTATCTCCTGCCCAATGGCTTATGCCTCCATTTGGCTCTGCAGGGCCACTCAGTGAAAAACTCCATCCCTGATCTTAGATAGGTATATTCTGCTTGCATTCTACAATTTGTAAGTATTTAGGTAAAACTATTATGCAGTCCTGGGGATGATAGGCTATATGTCTCTGCTGATTATATCAAGATCTTGTTAATGGTATTGTATACTGGGAGAAGCAACAATAAACATGTCAGATTTTTTGGAAGCCTGAAAGCTTTTTTCAATTTTTCTTAAAGATGATTCAGCCTGCAAATTTCTCTCTTCCAGCATGTAAACATGAGTCGCAGAGTTGTTTCTACAATGATTTTTCAGATGACACATTTTTCCCAATTTCAATGTAAATAGAATGGAAGGTACCAGAAGTGAGGGCTGAAGCCAAGACTTTCCCACATTATTTCCACCTACATCCAAATCCCTTGTCTTCCAGATAGGCTCTAGACCAAAGGTGAATAGATTTCAGGGGTGAGAGGTTCAGCTCCCTTGCCCGCATGCCTATTTTATTGTAAAAATATGACCACCCCCTGCTGTATTATGAATGGGAAAGATGGATGATTAAACAAATGTAATTACTGCCTCCACATCTAGTTTGGCCTATAGTCTAAACAGCAGATGGTTTTAACAATTCTTAACAGATGATCAAGTAGAAAATATATCAACCCATTACAGTAAGCACACTTACAGGGTCTGAAAACCATCTGTTGGGAATATTTGGCCTCTGCTGATCCACACAAACTACTTTTCTCATATCTTCAAAACTAGGATCATTAGGAACTACATCATAAAATGGGGGTTTGTAGTCTTCAACTATACCTATAACCAAAAACACAAGAGATATGTTATTGCACCAATATATTTTAAGAAGTTCATTAGCAATACAAAGTTCACATACTATTATAAAGGATTAAGCTTTGCCAATTGGAAGCTCTTGCGACATCTCACTGATATTATGAAATGAAATCCTAAGAGCACAATACAACCAAAGCATTAATCAGCCAGGCCTCCCCGTGGACTAGAAAATAGTTCTTGACTCTGCAAACATGTACATGTACAGAAAACAAATCATACATATGACTAAGCAGCAAAGCTATTACAGATTTGGAAAGAACAACTACTTAATATTTCTTTACATGTGCTTTCACACATTCTGCATTATCTATCTAGACCCAAACTAGCCGGCATAGAGTTCAGACGATGCTGAGTGGGGTGGGACAGTAATTACAATTGCCTACCACAAATCAGGTATTTTTCTGGAATAATGGCTGCTGCTGTGAGATACATCATCAAAACACTATAATAATTCTGGTGCTGCCTCTTGATGGAATGGCAGTAACTCAAGAATACAAGCCTCTGACTTGGGGGTCCTCTGGACTTATGGCTACTCTGGATGGGCAGGTGCAGATGGTAACCACGAGGATCTCTGCCCAGCTACTTGGAATGAGAGGACCTCACCTGCATCACTCTTTGTTTAGACGACTTCAATGTGCTCTAAATAGGGTTGCCTCTGAAGATGGCTCTGAAGCTGCAACTGGTCTGGAATGCAGCACCACTGTTCTTAGTTCATGTATGTCAGTATAAGCACATGACACCAGTGCTTCGGCCTGCACTGGCTCTGAGTAGTTTTTTGGATACAATTCAAAATGATGGTTTTAGCTTGTAAAGCCCTTTATGTCATGGCACCAAATACTTGTAGGACCATCTTTTCCAGCCAGATTCAACCTGCTTGATTCACCCAGCCTGGGAGAAACTATTGGTTCCCTATTTCTCAAGGGGAAGGGAGGGGTTGAGGCTTATAACCACTGCTTCTCAGTGAGTATACCTACATTATAAAAGAGCCATTCTCTGGAAATCAGACTGGCTCCCACACTGGCTTTCTGTAAGTTTTTAAAAACAACTGTTCTGAAGAGCCTACAGAGGATAAAGTGATGCCATCAGTAATGTGGATGGAATTCTTGTACTGTTGCTCTTTGATTTTTATGATTTAGCTATTTTTAATTTTATTGTATTGTTTCCTTTATAGCTATAGTTAACTGTTGAGAGACTTTTGAGAGAGTTGAGTACTGTTGAGAGTCTTTCAGTTGTGGTGGATACAAAGCCCCCCTCCCCAAATAAATAAAATGATTTTGCACTCTGTATTTTAATTGCAGAAATATTCAGGGTAGTTTGGACGTGTGTTCCAATTCAACATTCCCTTTGAAACGTATCTTAATTTTGATCCCATTATGAGCTGGTCATGTACAACTATTATTAAAATAAGAGACACTTCAACAAGTTTCAGGAGGAAATGTTCAGATCAATATTAAAATTCAGTATTTAATTTTAAAAACAATAATATGGCAATTTACCCTTAGAAAAGTCTAGCAATGAGAAGACACACACACACATACACACTTACTTGCCGTAAAATTTTTAGTCTACTGTTGGTTTGCATCTTTTAAGAAGATCTTCTACTCAGAAATATTACCTGGCATTAGAGTTTTGTCATACATGATTTTTTAAAAAGCCGATAGAAATAAACAGAAAACTTATTTTATCTGGCAGTTTATAATTATGTCACCGCATTTCAAAACTCACCAATTTGGATTTGCTTAATTCTGAAAGTTCTCTCAAATACAAATCGTGTTGGCCATGAGAAAAACAATCCAAAACCCATAAAGGCAAATTGTTTATTAGCCCAAGTGAAGTTTTACAACACAGCTGCAAAATTTTCAAGTTTCCAAGGACTCTTCGTTTGATTAAAAGGTTAAAACCCAAGAAAAAACAGAAGGGGGAAGAGGAATGTGCCTGATCTTCCTGCCATGCAGATGAACAGCCTTGAGAAATGCAAATGATGCTTCTCAGGTTCCTCAGCCTAGAACTTCCAGGAATACCCAGCCAGCATGGCCCCTGACTGGAGGACACCCTACCCTAGGGCATCTTCCAAAACTCATTAGGGACATGAATCAAGCAAATATTCATAAAGCCTCCCAATTTTGGAAACATACTCTCCAAATTTCAAATCAAAACAATTTCCAGACTTTGTGAGACATAGCAATCTTTTGGCAGAGAGATTCGGTTAGTGCTTCTGTACATGCAGAACAGGTTGTTACAGACACAGTGGAGGAATCAACTGGGAAAGTCTGTTCGGTACAGGACTTCCATTTATAGAACCAAATAGTTTATTTGTATGTTAGAAGCTGAAAATATTACAATAAAAGGAGCAGTTGTCTGGCTTTTAATCCAATGCATTTAAAAAACATTAAAAAGACAATTAATGTAGTCAAAATTTCATGGACCCTAGGGGACTGCAGCTGAGTCCAGAGGCACTGAAGAATGCCAGCAGGGCAATATTAACCTCTGACCTACTCTGTCATAATACCGTCACAATGAACCTTGACCCACTTTCTTTTCATTTCCCCAGAAGAAAAGAAAATGCCTTAAAGAGAATTGTCCTTGAATCTACAAAACAAATAATAAATAAAGATAGCAGGCCTATTTTTCTGATGCTAAGATCAGCCATCCTCAGCTTGGTGCTCTTGGTGGGACTGCAATCCAACAGGGCTACATTTTGCACTGCATGGCATTAAAAAAAAAAAAGCTTATTTTGACTTTACAATTAAATTCAGGTTAGAGTTAATGCAACGAAAGGAGACACTATCTCCATTTTTCTCTAAATAGAAAGGTGAAAAAGCTTTATTAATCTTTTTCCCTTACTTAAGATGTTCCAACCCCATCCCCAACCTTTAATATTCCCCCTTCTCAGCACAGCTGAAGACCTCATAAAAAGGCAAATGGAAAGTTCTGAGCTGTTCTGCTGTACTTGTGCCACCAGAAAAGATAAATTTGTTCTCAACCGTGCCCTGCTGCACACTGCTTAAAATGTTTAATAGGGCTACTGACCATTCATTCATCCAATCAGAAACAGCTTCTGAATTTTGCTAGAAATTTAACAAGCAAATATTCCCACATCAGTACAAACAACATTTATAAGAGCGTTTGTCAAACCAACCTCAGGAACAGTATAATTCTGCCAAGCAGGCTAAAATTCCACCTATTTACAGAGCAGACAGTTACAGAAGCTAACAGCAGTTGGCCAATTTATCTGTGCTCAAAAGCTAAGCCCAGTCAGACCAGCTTGCTTGTTTGTTTATGCTTGTTTGTCACCTATTTGTAAGGCTCTAAACAGTTTACAGTTACAGGAACATAAAAACACAATCCCAATAGTCAATTCACATCCTATAAAACTCTACTTCTGCTGATGCCTAATTAGGTTCTCCTTCTCCAAAGGCCCTTCAGAAGAGCATCTTTTTTACAGCCTTCCTAAATGTCATCTTGACCTCAGAAGGAAACGTATTCCAAAGAAAGAAGGCCATCCTCCAGCTTGCTCCCCTCAGGGTGTGGGCACCAATAGCATTCTCCCCCAGCTGGTCCTTATTGGGCAGGAAGATTCCACTATCCCAGATGAAGCAAGCAGGCAAGCCGTATAGGGCTATACAGGTAACCAGCACCTTGCACTGGGCCCAGAAGCCTCCCAGCAACTAATACAGCTCCCACAATGTAAGCATTCCAAGCAAGCAGCTGCCTTCTGCACCAGCTACAGTTTTCCAGGTCATATTCAGGGTCAGGCCCATGCAGAGCGAATTGCAAGAGTCTAGCAAGGAGATGACAAGGATGTGAGTCATTATCTTCAGTGCTCCTGGTCCCAGAAGGTTGCTGGAAGTTCAAGGCTGAAAAATCTAACAGTAACATGCTCTTGATAAGCCCCATTAGTATGGCATCACTCTAGAAGTCTCTTCAGACACTTCATCTGCCTAAGCTCCTCAATAAACTAAGGATTATTATTATTATTATTATTATTATTATTATTATTATTATTATTATTAACAACAATAATAAATTTATATGCCGCCCGAGTCCCAATGACTCTGGGCAGCATACAATCATTAAAACATTGAAAAACAAAGAACAATAGAACACACACACATGCACACAACACAGAAGAACAATGATGGCAAATAAAATAAACCCAGAAGGGAAAAGGAAAAAAGAGGCATCAGTCATCCTCTCCAAAGACCTGGGTGAAGAGCCAGTCTTAAGACCCTTCAGAACACCAGCAGGACTTCCAGGGAAGAAATGGCAAACTGAAGACAGCTCTGCAAAAAGCAAAGCTCATGACCATGGCAGAATGAAGATCCAGGGAGCAGACCAGCTCTTCTATAATCCTCTCCGGACAATAAGAGGACTTGAGATCTCCCACAAGTGCTCCAGACAGCTGCTCCTCATGAGGAGACCATAAGATAGCAGTTTCTGGTGAGTTCTGAGCACCGGGAGACAAGGGAATAACCATCTTGCTCAAACTGTGGATGGTACTGTATCTTTGGAAGAACACTGGGTTCACATACTTCCTTTTCTAATTACTTTTGAAAATTGCTTGTTAACTGCTTTTCAGCTATTAGGAACCTTTGGATTGACAGGTTTTACACCACCAGGTGAATTTTCTTCAATCCTTAGCAAAAGAAGTTTTAAATACAAGCCTAAGGACTTAAAAAAAATATATTTTTTTTGAATAAACAGCAAAAAGGGTTATTAAAACTTTGATTTTAGATAATTATAAACAGACTAAGGTTCTAGATAAATTTGAAATAAGATTTTGGAATTAATTATAAAGAATCCTTCCTGTGGGAAAATGCTTTTTTTTTGAATTCTTCAAAAAAAAAAAAAAGATTTTATAAATTGGACACTAGAGGGAACTAAAGATTATAATTAAAGGAGAAGAACACTCAAACTCAACTTACAAATACAGAATGAAGCAAAATATGTTAACATTGGACATATTGAAGGATATTTTTGAACAATGAACCCAGAGGTTAATTTTAAGAGTGTCTTCCTCTATAGATAGACTGTGTCTAAGAGATGTTATGGAAGAGGAACAAGTTCTACCTGACAAGATTGAGACTGAACTGAAAGTGGATTTTAAAATGACAGGCTACAAGAATGACATGGAAAAAGATGTTACACTGGA